ACCATCCCCTTGGTTCCTCTGGCAAAGCAGCCGGGGACCCCTCGTTCTCGATTTGTCTCCCTTCTCCTGGATTCAGTCCACCGGCCAGCTGATGGTGATGGAGGGGGGAGTCTGTCTCCATTTCCTCTGCCCCTCTGGCCCCCGACTCATTTCTTACCTTACTAAGTAGCCCAAGAGGATTTATTTATTTATTTACTTATTGTCTATTTGTGTTTTTTTTTTTTAATTTTGAGAATATTTTACTTAAAGCTGGGGACAGTGAAACAAGGCCTTACGGTAGAAAATGCAACAAGAGGGAGCTCAGGCAAGGCTGCTGTTGGCTCACGGAGCAGTCAGAGAAGAGGGGGCCCTGGAGACGGGGGCAGGGGGCTAGCCTGGTTGCAGCAGGTCTCATGGGGACCCTCCGAGCTTTGGAGATGCACGTGTGAGAGGGAAGGAAGGCTGCACGTCTTCCCTGGAGGAAGAGTGGCCTAAGAGATTTTTTTTTCCTTTTTTTTTTTTTTTTCTTTCAGGTTTCCCTCAGGCAACCTCTTCCCGAAACGGCAGCCCTAACTAATCTTCTCATCTCTAATCTAAACCGGAGCTCGTTTTAGTTGTTCTTGTTTGTTTGAAAGGAGCCCTGTAATCCGTTCGGAAAGTGGAGAGAATGGCTCCCCTCGCCTCTGAGATCCAGACCATTCCGTCTTCCCGGGGAGCCTTGCGCTCTAGCCCGCGGGTCCCTAGGTCCCTCCTGGTGCGGCCCGGAGGGAGCGTTCTCCCACTTCTTCCTACGGCTAACACTTCTCTTGTTTTTCAGGTCTCAGCCTTGAAACTCCCTCCAGTGGAGGCCTTTGAAGACTTTCTGAAGGTGTCATATTTTTAAAATATTTTATTTATTTATTTTTAGAGAGAGGGGAAAAGGAAGGAAAAAGGGAGGGAGAGAAATATGCTGTGCGATAGACACTGTGATGGGTTGCCTCTCTTACACCCCCCACTGGGGACCTGGCCCGCAATCCAGGCACGTGTCCTGACTGGGAATCCAACAGTGACCTTTGTGTTCGCGCAGGTAGGCTCAATCCACTGGGCCACACCAGCCAGGAGCCCCTCATATTCCAATCGGTTTCATTTCATAGCATTTTTCTCAATCTGAAACAATTCTGTTATTGACCCATTACAAACAGAGTCTTGTTTACACTTATGTAAACATGCCTCACATATATGTCTCACATGAATAAAAGCCAGAAAAAACAGTGACGGGTCTAGGGTAGATGGGTAGAGCAATGTTTGGTACTGTTTCTAAATGACTGAGTAGATGCACCCTTGTAACTATGTCTATTACAGTTTGAGAAATATAAAATTAGGTTAATCTCATGCCATTAACAACTAGATGTTCTTTAATTGAATTTTCTAGGGAGATATTGGTTCATAAAATCATCGGTTTCAGAGGTAAAATTCTATAACACATCATCTGTGTATTGTATTCTGTGTTCACCACCCCCAGCAGAGTCTCCTACCATCTCCATTTATCCCCTCCTCCCTATTTCCTACCTCCTCCCGTCCACCCCCACCCTTTCCCTCCGGTAATCACCATACTTTTGCCTGTCTGTGAGGTGTTTTGTTTTGTTTTTGCTAATCCCTCCTTTTTCACTCAGTCTCCTATCCCCCTCCCCTCTAAATATCCAGGGTTGTTTTTTTTCTTTGTACCATATTTACCTAATACATTTTCCTTGTAGTTAACTCCACTATCAGAGAATGTACTTATCATATAAACAGGAATTTTTCCATTATAAATTACCTTTTCAATTTTATACATCATCCTCACAAGCTCAAGAATCTAGCTGAGAAAGGTAGGACTTACCTGTGAACTTTGGTAAATTCATCAAGAAAATAACTTCTCCTTCAACCCTATTCCCATAGGTGATGTCCTTCTAGATAATAATACCTTAGCATCATTGATAGCCAACATTTGGAAACATCTACATTGTCTGTCTAAAGTCCCAGGTAACTTTCTAATAAATTAATTTTATAAGATTGCTATATCAGATATCAGCAGTATGATGACTGATGCATATCCATCAATTCATTTCCTTAGACGAACGTACTAAGTGATTGAGACGGAAGAGGACCTTGCTTCATAGATTGACAGCTGGTAGGTAAACAGACCTAAACTAATCAGTACCCGGGGACTTTAATCAGTGTAAAATAAGGGTCTAGGGGAACATTTAGCTGGGGGACCTAATTGAGCCTGAGAGTCGAGGGAGGCTTGCCTGAGGAAGTGATGTTTAAGCAGAGCTCTGAAGTATGACTGGGAAGTCAGCGTGGAGGTGTCTGTGTGTGTGTGAAAGAGAGATTGCGTGCTGGTATGGGAAGGGGGAGTAAGGATGGGTAGCATTTTTCCTGAGAAGGAAGAACATGGCACTTTATTGGAGACAGAGTTCATTATTAACTGAAAATGAAATAGAGCTGGAGATGGCAAGAGATAATGTGGAGAGAAAAACCGAAATCGAGTTAGAGTTATTTTAAACAGACTAATTGGGGGAGGGGGATTTTGTGTTCTGTCCTACTCAACTTAGACCAATTTCTAGTGATTTTACTCCAAAAGTGCTATGTTCATTAATACAAAATGTTTTGAAAGTTGTTTTTATCTATGAGAACAAAGTTTTATTAGACAACAAATATTCCCAGACATAGTCTCCCTGGTTTATTTCACCTTTTTAAATGACAAAATAAATATGAACACGTGTAAGGTTACATATTATTCATGTATATATGTGTATGTGTATATATACACATTATATATTATGTATATACATTGTATATAAACAGCTTGAAAATATTTTTAAATATCTGCATTTAAAAATACCACCTCCATGTCAGAGGGGCACTAGATTCATTGGGATGATCACTTTGGAAGTTATATAAATGTCGAATCACAGCATTTTACACCTGTGACTAATATAATATTATATATCAGCCATTATTGAAAAATTTTTTTAAAGAATAAAAATTCCACCTCAAAATAATAATGGCATTTGCTTTTGGTGAAAAAAATACATGGAACAAAAACAAAACATGCCTTTTCATCGCTAGAGAAGTATTTCAAATTCCTTCTTAATATTTGTATATCCATTATGTTTAAGAAGAAATTTAAAATGTTTCCCTTGGCAATTTGTATACATAATACACTTATATATAATGTATTTATAAAACAGTTCTATATTATACTTTTCATATGATATATGAGCATGTAGATAGATGTATATGATGATATTTAAAACTCTCCCCTTAGCATTTGAAAAAATGCTTTGTGGGTTTTTTTTTTTTTAGACTTTATTTATCTTTAGAGGGGAAGGGAAGGAGAGAGGGAGAGAAATATCAATGTATGGTTGCCTCTCATGAGTCCCCTGCTGGGAACTGGCCTGCAACCCAGGCATGTGCCCTGACTGGGAATCAAACCTCAATCCTCTGGTTCACAGGCCCACGCTCAATCCACTGAGCTACACGAGCCAGAAAAAATGCTTTGTTTTTATTCTACGTGGGTTTTTTTCCCCCCCAAAGTAAATGGCATAATCCTTTCAGGTGGTATTTTTTTTCTTAATTTATTGATTTCAGAAAGAGAGAAAAGCATTGATTTGTTGTCCCAATTATTCATGCATTCAGTAGCTGCTTCCTGTATATGCCCTGGCCTGAGATCAACCCCGAAACCTCGGCAGATGAGGACAAAGCTCTAACCAACTGAGCCACTTGACCAGGGCCTCTGGGGGTAGTTTAATTTTATTTTTATTTGTTAACCCACAAAATCCATTGTTATGGATAATGAACATATCTAGAATCTTCCACTGGACCTTGAGATGGTATTTTAAATGTAGCAACTTAATATATCTCATTACTTTTATATATTCCCCCTTTCTAAAAAGCATTTAATTTTTGTTCGTACAGCAGGGTGTGAGGACAATAAAATTAAAAGATTTTATAAGGCACACAATTGTCACATGAAGCAAAAAGCGGTAAATTTTATAATGTTGCTTCTACATTTTAAACAAGTAACAGAAAACTATTCAGTCTCAAAGTGCTCAGTCTCAATTTGACATGCGCACAGAAGAGGGAAATACACGTGCTCTATGTCTTTTTCGCTCGATCCCCATCTTCTGGAACAGAGGCAGGTAAGCTACAGCCCAGGGCCAAATGCAGCCTCTGCCAGCTGATTCATGCAGCACAGTCGGGCTCATCATCCTTGGTTTATTATTACCTACGGCTGCTTCTGCACCGCAGTGGTGGAGGTGAATAGCTGCACCACACAGCCCAGGGCCCACAGAGCTTAAATCTGACCTTCACAGAAAGAAATTTGCCACCCTTGGTCTAGAAGAGTGGATGGCATATAGCAGGATCCCACTCACACTTGCAGAACAGATACAAAGCTAAGAAAATAACACTGGGACAAGTAAACGTTCAGCATTTGCTCTGTGCCATGAACTGTGCCAAACACTTGATAAGTATCATTCAGTTTGAATTTTGCAACAGTGTTATATAAGAAAATAGACATATCTTGTTCCCTTACCTCCTTCAAGTTTTTTGTCAACTGCCACTTCTTTGAATACCTATTCAAAAATTGTGGACTCCTGCTTTTCTACCAGCTCCTTTGCTTATGCCATAGCACTTTACCTTATACCAGATGACATGAATACTTATTTTGTATGCCTATGAGAATGTATACTCCATGAGTATGTTTGTGTGTTTACTTACTGATATGGCTCAACCCATGAGCAGCCTAGATAGAGCACAGCTAGCATATAGTGAGTACCCCATAAACAGTAAATGTTGGGTGATCAATATGGGGGTGCCCAGGTAAGATCTGGCTATGACCCATGCCTTTATCAGAGCTCATTCTCTTACTCTCTCATGGAGTTTGTCCAAGAACATGTAAGTGGCCTGGCTCAGTAGCTCAGTTGGTTAGAATGTTGTCCCGATTTGTCAAGGTTGTGGATTTAGTCTATGTCCAGGGCACATGAAAGAAGAAAATAATGACTGTGTCTGACAATGGCTCTAATGTTGGGGTATATTTTACCTCAGGGTTACTGTCTCAAAGCAGGTGCTTGCTGAAGATTTACCCAGATCACTACTACCTGGAAGTGGTTATTATATCCTGGTACAGACCTTCAAGGAGGAAGCAGCAGGACGATATGGAGCATCAGCTGAACACAGATGGACCAAATACAGATGGACCAAGAAGCCTAGCCCTCAGTGGGGAGGAGCCAAGTCCAGCCCAGCAGGCACCTCCCAATGCCATGCAGGCCTCTCGGAATGAAGATGGGGACCCCAAGACCAGCTCTCAGGCTGCTGAAGAACCCTCCTCTGATTGTTACATAGAGTGTGTTATAAGAGGTGAGTTTACTGAACGCATCAAGGAAGAGGACATAATTCTTAAGTCCTTCAAGTACCGGAAAAGGGGATCAGAGCAAGCACTTTCTGAACAGGTTCCTACGACAAGCTCAGTTCCTGAGTGTTCCTTGCCATGCACGACACAAGGAGCAAAACAAGAATTTTCTCAACAGATTGTTGGAGAGAAATCATCTGTTGAATATGCTGAGCCCATGACAGGCAAGAAGCCTCCTCCTGAAGCAACACCCAGTGCTAACAACGTGTGTGAAACTAACAGAGATCTTCAACAGCTTGTGGAATTTGCTAGAACTAATGCAAGAGAAATTGAGGAAAATGCTCCAGAAAAAATCGTTTGTCCTTATCGTGAATGCGCGAAGCCGCTGAAGACCAGAGATGCCCTGAGAAAGCATGTCCTCCTGGTCCACGGTCCCCGAAACCACGTGTGTGCAGAATGCGGGAAAGCGTTTGCCGAGAAGTCAAAACTAAAGAGACATTTCATGGTGCACACGGGAGAGAGGCCTTTCCAGTGCACTTTTAAAGGGTGCGGGAAACGCTTTTCCCTGGCCTACAATTTGCGCACACACGTGCGCGTCCACACTGGAGAGAAGAGTTTCGTGTGCGCCTTCGAAGGCTGTCAGAAGTGCTTTGCGCAGTCAAGTAACCTGAAAAGTCACCTCTTAACTCACAGCAAGCCAAAAATGAGTGATGAGGAAGAAGATAGAAAGTAATCTTTAAACAGGATAAGCATTTTAACCAAAGAGTGATTAGGGGAAAATATGCCTTGTTGATTATTGTTTTCAGGAGAGATTTTTAGAATCAATGTTGCAACTCTGTAAGGTGTATATATTTTTTAACGTAACTAAGTTTTCCTATACTTTGAGATAGCATTTTAAGAGCACTGTTTAAAAAAAAAAAACAACTGTGTGCAGAATAATGTGCTTCCAACAAGAAGATTGATAATGAACTTTCTTCTAAAGCATGATTCTTAATATATGGTGAATTAGATTATTGGATAAGGGGCTTATTTCACATATTATAAAAATGAAATTAACTGATTTTTCAAGTTTGTCATTTCTAATTGTTTCACTTTTGCCTTTTAGGAATATACTTCACGCTGCATATGATAATCCTATAGAATGAAAAGTTCACAATAGATTGTCAATAAGTGCATGAGTAGTTAAGCTTCAGTAAAAGTTAAATATAATTTGTAATCATTTTCTTTTTTTTAATTATATGTCATACTATTGAAATAACATACCTGGATCTGAGTGGTTATTTGAGAGTGTCAATCCATTGGAATCATTTCAGATCTTTTCAAATAAAAAGGAAATAAAACCCCCAAATTGTCTATGCCTGGTATGAAAACTCAGAGTGTGCACTGAAGAGAAATACCACTTATTTGTCTTTGAAAGTGGCAAAAAGTGCAAAGATGGATGGTTCAGTACTAGTGAGATGTGAAGCAGGAGTTGTGCAGCTATTCGGTGGGTTAAGGTGTGCTCTGCCACAGACGTGTGGGAGGGTATTTTGCACGCATGCTGCGTCGGTGTTCAAGGGGTGCTGTAACACTGCCCCCAGGTAGGTGGCTTAACCAACAGAAATGTACTGTCTCAGTTCTGGAGGCTAGAAGTTCAAAATCAAGGTGTTGGCAGGACTGGTTCCTGCTGAGACCTCAGAAGGATCTGTTCCTGCTTCTCTTCTGGGTTTGTAGGTGACCGTCCCTGTGTTTGCACAGCTCTCCTTGTGTCTTCACATCATCTTTCATCTGTGCTGTGCCTGCTCACATGCAGGTTTGCTTTTGCAGGGAAGCCAATCATGGATTAGAGCTCACCCTAATGGCCCTATTTTAACGTGATCACCTCAGTAGAGATCCTAGCTCCAAATAGGGTCATATTTGGAGGTACTGAGAATTAGGGTTTCAACAGGAATTCTGGGGGGTGCACAGTTCAACCTTTAACTTCATTCTTGCAGACTAATTTCATCTGTAGAATTTAATTCTATAAAAATATTTGCACTTGTGTACAAAGAGACTTGTTTAAGGATGTCAACTGAAACATTTTTATTAGTAATAAATTCATAATGTAAATGTCCATTAAAAGGGAACAAATTGCATAAATTGTGGTACCTCTATTTAATAGAAAATGTGCAAATATCCTTACAGGAAGCTTGGCTGTAAGGCAAGAAAAGAGCAGTACAGCCAGAGGAAAGTTGATTTTGATGGATGGATTAGAATCCAGTATATTTATACACTGTGGAAGGAAATTTAGAGAAACTGGTTAACTCATGTGAAAAGGGGGAAAAGTTGATTGTCCAGAAATAGCCGATAAAAAAAACAACTAAAGCTCTAATACAGGGATTACCTTATTTTTGTGATTATAAATTGAATCCCTAATTAGAATCACCTTATACTTGTTTATTTCTATTAGTGAAAATTATCTTAAATCTCACTGCCTTTTTTGGGGGGGGTCATTTCTATCTTCCTGGAAGAGAGGCAGAAGACTGAGGGTCTGCTCACCTTGGAAAATGGAGAACTAACTAACCTGCATTGAGAAGTATATCCACCAAGATGGATGAGTCTCAAAAATGTGCGAAACCACTGACATTCTTACATTAGTTTCTTTTATCTTATTCTGCAATAGGCGCACAGGCCTCCCAAAGTCATATTTGGTTTTTGCATTTTACCCTATAACATACATTGTAATAACATATATCGGTAGACATAAGATTTCTCTCCTATTTTAGCCCAAAGGAATTCTATCCAAAGCACATTTGTCATATATTTCTTTCCTACCAAATATGCATGTGTGGAAATTCATGTGTGCTTGTTTTAATTACCAAATGCACTAGCTCTGACTGAATAAATTGCATGATTACATCCTACATTGGACACAGAACAGTGCAAGTTACATTAAAAAGCCATTATATTTGCAACTCTGAGCAAAAGACTATAATTAAAAGGCAATTGGATGAAATTAGCTTTGAGAGTACAAGAGTTTAAGTAGAATTTGGTAAATGAACATTAATGGTTAACATGTGGTTTTTATTAGGAATTCTGCTGCTTCTCTCTGACCTCAGGGTTGAATTTCTTAGATGTCAGTGGATCAGACATACAAAAACACCTGTACAAAGTCACCCTTTACCATGTGGTTAAAGTTGTATCTATAAAAAAAAACCCAACATAACTTTTGTGACTTTAGTAAATCAAAAGTATTAAGTAAGCGGGAATGATTCCCTGAGCATTAATAAACTATTTTTAATACTCCTAAGATCTCAGTATGTGTCATAAAAAGCATAGTACATGCTTCCTGTAATTCAAAATGTTGGTGATAAAATACACATGTACAAATCAAAGAATAATAAAACTAGAGAATTTCAGTTTTTGTGACCATTAAGTATATACAACACTAAAGTTATACACAGTATATTTAGTGACACCCAATTCTTATCGAAGGCAACCAATACATTTGTAAATTGCTGAGGATGTGGCATTTGCCTATATGGGTTGGGTAAGTAGAAATCTTTTTTTTTTTTACCAAGTATGTGTCCCTAACAGGTATTACACTTGGGGCAGATTAAAGATGGCTACAAAGTCTTTGCTACTCTTCCCATTGAGATTTGGGCTCTGTTTCCCTTTGCTTTCAGTCTCTGCTGGTCTGTGAATGCTTTGATCAGTAGGGGATGGTGTAAATGATGCTATAATAGCTATGCCCATTCCTGGCCGAGCTTTCAAGATGCCTGGCAGCTACTGCCTTGCTCTCTTAGAAACCTGCCATTTAAGAACTATGACAACCCTAAGACCACCATCCTAGGCAAAACTCAAGCCACATGCCAAGACCTGTGGGATAAGAGGCAAAGAGATCAAGACCAAACAGTAGTGAGGTGCCAGGCATGAGTGACGGACGGCACCATCTTGGAATAGTCATCAGCCCCAGTCACCCAGGTGATGACAAATGAATTACCTAGACTGGATGGTCCCTTTCCAAATCTCTGACCCACAGAATGATGAACAAAATAATTGTTCTTTAAATAGAGACTATAGCTGATAGCACTGTTGAAAAATTGAAATTGGCTAAGAGAGAACTCAGATGTTTTATATATATAGATATAGGTATACTGATAGATAATTAGAGGGCAGGAATCTTTTGAAATGTGTATGTCTATCACCATGTACATTTAATATCTTACAATTTTTTCAACTCTACCTCAATAAAGCCAAGAACATAAAATAGCTATTTTTAGCCACTTAAATTTGGGGTCAGCCATTATGCAACAATAGATAACAAGCTCCATTTCACACTTATTATTTGAATTTTAGTCTTTGCTTTACATTGGTGTAAGTGTTATGTACGCATACATACATATGCATACCCACAGGTTTTATAGAACTAGCTTATTCCTAAATTCAAAAGGAATTGTTGACTCTCATTTGCAATTTATATACTGGATCTAATATTTTCCGTAAGAGTCAGGACAAGGAGGGAGGGGGTTCCCTCTTCCTAGCCCAGCAGAGACTGATCTATTTGTGGACTGAGAAAAACTGCAGCTCCCTTTACAAAACTAAAACTCGGGCTCCGTAAAGATTGGTGGAGGAAGAAGCTGCACCTGGGAGGAACAATTTCTCTTCACCAAACTGGTGCTGTCATCCTGAGCCAGGTCACCTCCCTGGGAGGAATGCCATTAATTACCGCTGCTGCCACCACTGTCCTTAAAGGGTCACACTCCACTTTAACATTGACCCACACATGAGCACATAGCTCTTTCTTTATTACATCGCAGTAAAAATGAGATGAGACTGGGACATTTAAAGATCCCATTAAAGGCAAGAGGACAACACACTACAGCTTGTTTTCGCAGGTCACAAGTTTAAGGGATCACTATTTCAGGACCCAGAGTTGAGAAAAAGCTCCAGTGATTTCTTTCATTTTCACCTAAGATCTGGCTTAGATTTCTGGCTGAGGATCCACTTATTTCCCGAGCAGCTAACCTCAGTATATCTAGATGGGGTATTTAACTGGAAAGCCACTAAAATTTATCTCACTGGGGGTATGGAGGGACACAAGAGAGAGAACCTTGCAGAAATTGGTGAGAAACAAATTCTGAAGGCTTTATAGATCATTTAAAAAAGTTAGAAGGTTGTAGTCAATAATGGAAGCATTAAAGGGATTAAGGAAGTAATACGATCAAACTCACTTGTTAGAAAAGTCATTTGGGAGAGTAAAAAGTGGATTGGGGAGTAGAAAAGCAGGCAGCTGTCGAGATGACATGTCTGATTAAAACAAAGTCCACATGTGTGAATATAGCTGAAGAAACCCAGAACACCGATTTGAAAGAAGAGGCGCACCTCTATGATCACTGCAGTGCTTTTTACAATGGCCAAGATTTGGGAGAAGCCCAAGTGCCCATCGGTAAATGAGTGGATAAAAAAGCTGTGGTGTATTTACACAGTGGAATACTATGTGGCCATAAAAAGAAAGAAATTTTACCCCTTGCAACTGTGTGGATGGACCTGGAGAGTATAAGCCAGTTAGAGAAAGACAAATGCAATGTGATTTTACTTCTTTATGGAATCTAGTGAACCAAATAATCTAACAAACAAAATAGAAACAGACTCATAGATACAGAGAACAGACCCATAGCTGTTGGGGGGGAGGGGGAGAGGGAAGAGACTGGGTGAAAAAGGTGAAGGGATGCAAGTTGTAGAAAAAGGACCACATGAAAACTGCATGAGAAG